AATAATTGAACAAATGTATGAAAACATCCAACTTTCGTTATACTTTTGCATAAAATAAAACAAATAAACTATCAAAACAAACCGTGTTTCATTTCAATGTGAAACCATTTTCTTCCTTTAACATTTAGTTTTGAAATTAATCAGCAATTATGCATGAAACTATTAATTACGATCATGTATTATGCCACTGAGCTCGTAAAAGACTAATTCAACATTTAGGACGATTAACTAATGGACGATAAAATCTTGTCAAAGCTAACATAAAAAATTGAAATTTGCTAAATATTCATTCTATAGCAATTGACAACCGGCTAAGCCTATGAAGAGACAAAATGCGAATTCCCCTCATCTGTGCCATCTTGTATTCCATAGTTGAACTCAATTTAGTTACAATGAATTGAATCGAAAAAGAGAAAAAAAACAACAACAGTAACATGGCTACATAGATCTGTTGACCAGTGAGATACGTATAGCAATGGAATGAAAGAATGAAGAAAGCGTATATGTGTATGTTTTTTCACTTTTTCATTTCAATGCTACAGAATTAAATTCAGTTTTTGCATCTAATTCACACTAAAATCAGATGGCGCTCATTAGCGAGATTCGCAAAAAAAAGTCTCCAATCTCATACAAATATACACCGGCTGGCAATTGATTCGGCAGAATTCGACTGTCTCCTCTGCAAAATAAATAAACTTGGCGTGTCAATTACTACCACAATTGCATTGAGCACTATTTTAATCCAAAAAAATGTTGTTGGGAAAAACATTCAAATATTTCAATGACGAAAATCAATGAGTCTAGTAAATTCAACAAATTACGATTCCGTTTGCTTTTATTTTAGAAAAAAAATCGTTCATTTAAATCACATTTTTAAATTTACCATTATAAAGTTTTAGTCCGAAGAAAGTTATTTATTATGTTACATTTCTCAATTTTTAAAATTTCGCGCGCAATACATTCGATTTTAGTTTGACAGTTCATCAGTTCTCTGTCACATTCTGTGTGAACGAAGATGGCACGCACACTGTATCGTCTCTCATGCCAAACATCATACTTTGTCTTGTGTTAGTCAAACTCTCTATAGTTTTCGTCTTAAATCATTAATATAAAGCAATTTCAGTAAAATCGTTTAATTGTTCTGCAGAACCAAAGCAGCATTAACCGAAAATAATAATAGTAAAAAAATTCTTAAGTTAGAGTAATTTGAAAGCAGAAAGTTTCTTTTACAATTTACGTACAGCCGTACACGTATACATACAAAGGTGAGTAGCTAAAATATATTTGAAAGGCAAAGCCGAACGGTGTTTTGTTTATTTTTCTCTAAAAAGTCAAAAGGATTATTCGTGTGCTTCGAAAAAATAATAACAAATCGTACCCAATCGTGCAAAATCGTTTCCAAAAAAATTGCAAATTTTTTCATTTTACATTCTTTTCGATTCTTGGCACTGAAGCGTAAGACATTTGCACATGCCTGTGTTTCATGACCGTACAGTTTTGTCTTTGAAAAGACGTATGTTTTTCTGTATAAACCACCGAATAATATAAGTGTCTCTTGATTTATTGATTGTTACGAAACAAACGTGCTCTAATTAAATTGTGTTTTAAACTACACGCTCTGCAAAGAGTCAATGCAATACTTCTCTCACAAAATATACTTTAAGACTTCGAATTCTACCAAAATGAAACTACAAAAACCAAAAATTGATTATTTCTAAAATAAATTTCATTTCAAATCTGTTTACAGCGCTTGTTACGATTCCAATTCGAGCAATAAACCAAAATTCGAAATGGCTCAAAACGCCGATCAATCTATTCGCGCCAAAAAGCGAAAGGGAAGTCTATACGAAATTCATTTGCGTGAAAAGGCTTGTGATGCTCTCTACTTGGATGCCAAAAGGTCGGATGTCAATTTTTTGTTTTTCGAAAAGAAAAATAATCGCAGAAGTGCGAGAAAATTAATTGAAAAAGTGCCAGCTCACAAAATAATTTTGGCTGCGGCAAGTCCAGTATTTGATGCTGAATTTTTCGGCTCAATCAAGGAAAATGGTGACGTGGAAATCGTTGATTCATCGCCAGAGGCGTTTAAGGAATTTTTGCAGTGTTTTTACCTCGGCACTGTTACATTCACAATGAAAAACATTCCGGAAATCATGAACTTGGCCAACAAATACGATGTTCCCGACTGCATGAACGCATGTACCAAATTTGTGAATGACAACTTGACATCGAAAGATATTTGCTGGGTCTATGACTTGGCCATACTGCACGAGCATCAAGAATTGAAGAAATTCTGCGATGAATTCATCACTACGAATGCTGACACAGTGCTGAAATCGAATGAATTTCTCACTTGCAGTAAAAAAATGTTACGTGAAATTCTGAAATTAGACCTTCTTTGCAAAGAATCTATCGTATTTGATCGTTGTTTGGCTTGGGCGAAGAATGCATGCCAACAAAACGGCATGGACGAAAATGTTGCATCGAATTTGCGCGACCAACTGGACTTTTGTTTGTTTTTGTTTCGATTCGGTTCGATGACCATTCAAGAATTTTCGCTAGCCACACTCGGGTGCGAAGGGATATTTACGGTTGGTGAAATGGATGATATAGTAAGCTCGATATCGTTGAAGGGATTTGTGTCGAAGAAATTCAATCAAAATCCGCGACTTTGCTGGGACCAAAGCAAAGTTTGGATGTGTGAAACCACCAAATCGGGTAAAACATCGCCAATTCAAAGCCGTGAAATTGTTTTCATTACATCAAATAGAACTGCGTTGCTTGGGGGAATATTTTTTTGGAGCATACAACATATGGGTAGCTATGGCTATATATTGAATGCCAAAGTCAGCATTGTGGAGATTCAAGGCCAATCATTTGCTACTGGAACCGGGAAAATTCTTTATGAAGAGACATCAAACATTCCATTCAGAGTACGAAATTACTTGAAGCTATCGACTCCAATCATCATCAAGCCGACCAATACATATAAATTTTGTTTGGAAGTTACAAATCAAACCGGAAACCAGATTTCTTTCTGTTACCGCCTTGGGGAAGTCAAGTCGAGCAATGGACTCATAATTACATTCCACAATGTTGGCGGTCGCGGTCATATGATTTCAGGCTTGGATCTAATCGAATAGAAGTTGGACTGTTGGAGATTTGATTAAGTTGATTTCCATTACGACCAAAATACAACAACATTTTCTTTCATACTATTCTTTTAATTTCTAGACAGCTTTCTATTCAATTTTGTATCAAACAAAAAGTTCTGTCATTTTTTATCATTTTTCAAAATAAGTGGTGAACAAAGTTTTGTTCAGTCGAAAATCACTTTTAAATAGGCGCTCAGAAAGCTACTTTTCTTTCATGGATAGAATTATTACTAAATTTTGCACAAAGCCCAAATTCACAGAAAAAAACTTATAAACATCATCAATTCATAAGAAAAGTATCAATTTTCTTGCATTTTCATTGTACATTGAACAATGATTTTAGAACATAAGCTCAACAAGAATCTATCGATGAAATGCTTCAGGATCCGAGTTCAAAAAAATGTTTGTAATAAAAATTGTGAAAAATAGTAACTTTTTTGTCATTCTTTAAAATGAGTTTTTTTAAAATAAAAACAACCCAAATCATGTCTTAAAAGCCACGACTTTTCTTTTAAATCAATTCTCAAAAATATGCAAATTAATTTGTGTGAAATTAACGCTTATTTTTCGATTCAAAAAGGTTGAGTTCATTGACAATTGAAAATAGCCAACTTCATACCGAAGCGTATCGTCACCAATACAACTAATATTTTACCCGCCTTTTTTTCACACACTCATTGAATTGCGCATCGTCATCGTATACAGCAAATCGTAGTGGCCACTAATAGACGATCACCTGAAGAAAAATCACGTCTTATTTCCAATAAATTTACATTCGGCACCTGCATAAGTTCAAAGGTGAATTTTAATTGAATTTTTATTGTTTTGGAGAAATAGGATTTTTTCTAGAAGTATCATTGTAGTTTATGGAGATTAATTGACTAAAAGTCCCACTCGTCATTTTATAGAATTTTTTTATGCAAATAAACATAGTGACATTTTTTTACATAGAGCGACTAGTGAAATTCTAACCATATCTGAATTTATTTGTTTCTTATCGTTGTATTCAATTTAGTTAGACAATGAAACCATTTCAATGCAAGGGTGTTAGTGGCAGAAAGGTTGGCCACAAGTGCAAATGCAAGCCAAAGTGTTCACAAATCACGGTTAAGGAAGAAATCACCATCAAAGAAGAGCCGAATGATATGATTCAGTACTCACCGCCACCATCGCCAATTGGAACGGGTGCTACCATCAAATCGGAGAGCGAGAGTGACGACGATTGTATGCAGAACGATGTCAAGGATGAAATCAAATGTGAAGATGAATGTGCAAAGACGGAATGCGATACAGCAAAAGATGATGGTGGCGAAGGTGGAATCGACGAAAATGGTCCAGTTGACGCTAATGCTGACAATCCAAACCGTGATGATATACCGCATACATCAAATGGAAAGAAGCCAAAAGATGCAAAGAAAGTGCGCAAGAACAAAATATCAAAGAAATCAAAGGTCGCACCAAAGCTGAAGAAGCATAAGTGTCAGGTATGCAATTATTTGGCATCGAACAAGTCAATACTCAAAATACACATGCGCGTTCACAACGGCGAGAGGCCATTTGCTCGTGAAATCTGTGCAAAAGCTTTTAATCAGAAGTCTAGCCTGAACCGTCATAAGAAAATTCATGATCCAAATTTAACATTTCGTTGTTTGAAGTGCCGAATTGACTTCACAGAAGAAATCGGCAAGATTAACCACGAGACAAAATGCAAACGGCCTCAATACCAGTGCCACTTATGTAAAAGCACAACTCGGAATTTGTCACATTTGAAGCAGCACATGCGAATCCATAATGGTGTGAGGCCATTCAAATGCCGTGTTTGCTTCAAAACATTTACTAGGAAATATCATCTAAATGTACATTTACGCATCCATGTCGAACAACTGCCATTTGACTGCCAGAAATGTGGCCAGCGGTTTGGTAACAAAAACCAGAAGATATTGCATGAAGATCGTTGCACCGGCCGCCGATACGATTGCTATCTATGTAAATACAAATGTTTCCAAAAATGTGATTTGAAAAAGCACATGCGATCAAACCATACTGGTGAAAAACCATTTTCGTGTGGTATTTGTCAAAAGGCATACCGTCAAAAGAACGATCTTAAGCGACATTTGACAACCCACAAAAGAAAGCAACCGATTCGTTGCTCAAAATGTTGGAAGAAGTTTGCAGAAGAAGACGGCAAGAATGCACACGAAGATCGATGCAAACGACGAACCCACCAGTGCTATTTATGCAAAATTGTAAAGCAAGATTCAACACAAATGAAAGGTCATATGCGTACTCACCATACTGGCGAGAAACCATTTCCATGCGAACTGTGTGGATTGCGCTTTGTATGGCAAAATATTGCCAAACGTCACATGAAAAAGGTTCATCAATTAAAGAAGTAATATTGCATTCAAAAAGCATTACCTCATTTGTTTGGAAATGGCAAACATTAGAAATGTTTATAATTCATGGCACTAGCATTCACTCAAAATAATTGAACAAATGTATGAAAACATCCAACTTTCGTTATACTTTTGCATAAAATAAAACAAATAAACTATCAAAACAAACCGTGTTTCATTTCAATGTGAAACCATTTTCTTCCTTTAACATTTAGTTTTGAAATTAATCAGCAATTATGCATGAAACTATTAATTACGATCATGTATTATGCCACTGAGCTCGTAAAAGACTAATTCAACATTTAGGACGATTAACTAATGGACGATAAAATCTTGTCAAAGCTAACATAAAAAATTGAAATTTGCTAAATATTCATTCTATAGCAATTGACAACCGGCTAAGCCTATGAAGAGACAAAATGCGAATTCCCCTCATCTGTGCCATCTTGTATTCCATAGTTGAACTCAATTTAGTTACAATGAATTGAATCGAAAAAGAGAAAAAAAACAACAACAGTAACATGGCTACATAGATCTGTTGACCAGTGAGATACGTATAGCAATGGAATGAAAGAATGAAGAAAGCGTATATGTGTATGT